CCGTTCATGTTCGGTTAACGTTTCCGTAAGTGGGGCCTAGCCATAGTCCTCTCACCTCCCAGCCACCCTTAGCCTCCCTCCCACTTCCCTGTGTGGCTGCCGGCAACCCCGATAACCACCTTCCAGCCACCAAAACACCAAATATCAAGTGCGCTACCAACCATATCAGCCTGTCTCCACGGCCAGGCCAAAGCCTAGCCACAACAGCCTGCCGCCGCGGCCAAGCACGCAGCCCACAGTCACCAAAGACACCGAACACACTCCAGCCACCACCACTCGAAACTCCCTAATTTACCTCAAATTTGCCGCTCCATCACATCACCACCACCAAAATTACCTCCTACAACACTGACAAGCTAAAGTCGTATCACCTAATCAAAAGTAATTCCTAAGTCTTCTAACTAATGTAGATAGGGAAGTAGGGTCGAATCCACAGGGAAACAAGTTTTTCTTTCCCTAATTAATTATTATAATCTAAATTATCATGTAACCAAAATATTGTTGTGAGGGGAATTAAACTAAGGAGAATAAGTAGGGAGAAATCAATAATAAAAAGCCTAGGGTCACAGGTTCACCAATAATTAATATTTCGGGATAAAACAAAATAATTAATAATTAATATTGCAAACATAACATGATTAACTGGCTCTCGCAATTTATTAATCAACATAGATCTAACAGGCTCTCGCAATTTACTAGATCTAAGTTCATATTGAAAATAGCCTTTAATATCAAATTAAAATCTGCTCGATTCATCAATTCAATATTGCTATACTTTTACAGTCAAAGCACATCTGCTCGATTCATAATCTAATTGTAAAGAATTAAAACAATTCAATAAGAAATTATCATGCAATATCAATAATCAACTAAAAGAAATTATCCCTTCATATTAATTATGGATCCCCCAAGTACCCTAGAAATAAACTATTCGCACATAATTAAATCTAAACTAAACAAAGCAATTAAAGTGCATGATAAAAACAATAAAAAGAAGGTAAAAAGCAATAATAATGAAAACTAGAGAAAAGCAATCGGAGAAGAATTGAAGTAAAATAAAAACATAAAACAGAGTTGCGGAAAACGAACAAAGAAAACAATCTAAACTAAAACAATCTAACCATCTAAAACTACCTAGGAAAAACTACTATTACTCCTACTTAAATAAGAAAAGAAATAGGAGTTTTAATCCAAGTCAACTACTTCTAATTCCCACTCAAAACCAAGGCTGCGTGAATTTGGAGCAAAACAACGAAGCCGAATTGGCAAGAAAGAACGCTGGAGGACATCTCAATGAGTCTTGGCTACATACTAATGTAGCTATTATAGCTGCAACCAAACGCGCGACCCAAATCAAATAACCCAGATAATATATTTGCGACCCGCCTAAATCAACTCCACGCTCTATAAAATGAACATTTAGTTTAAACAAATGAACATCTAATAATAAAAAATGAACATGTAAAAAAATGAACATGTAATATTAAAAAGTGAACATGTTATAAAAAAAATGATTATTTATTAAAAAGGAACATGATTATCTAATCATATATTTGCTAAACCACGACCTTAAAAACGAACATTTAGTAAAAAAAAATGAACATGTAAAAAAAGGAATGTTCAGTTAATGAACGCGTAAAAAAAACGAACATTTAGTAATAAAAAGTGAACATGTCAAAAAAAGAAATGAACATTTAGTATACTCCCTCCGTTATGAATAACTCGCAACAATTACTAAAAATGGCCGGTACACATTACTTGCAACAAACTTATTTCTTTCCTTTTATGGTAAGTTTTTTTGTGTGATATTACAACATTACCCTTACTTTTTTTCTTTTCTAAACACCCTAATTAAACTACTGATTTTATCTTATTAACTTAAACCCTAACATTGATTTAATCACCTCCCATCTAAATTCATCATCACCTTCATTGGCAACGACCACCACCACCACCTTCATTGGCAACAACCACCACCACCACCAATCGCTACTATCGCCGGAAATCACTGTCATTGTCTTCTTCCTTGACGACGCCTTCATTTTCTCTCTCTTCCTTTTCTAGATCTGACTTTTTTTGGGTTCGTTGTGTGTTTGGTGGGTCGAATTTCTGGGTACGAATTTCAGGGTTTGGTGGTGTTGGGTTTGAATTTCATGGGTGGTTTCATGGGTTCGAATTTTTGGGTTTGAATTCGTGGGTGGTCTCGTGGTGCTCTGTGGTGGTGGGGGGGGGGGTTTGAATTCGTGGGTTGGATTCGTGGTGCTATGTGGTGATGGTGGGTTTGGTTTCGTGGGTTCAAATTTCTGGGTTTGTGGATGGTTTCATGGTGTTATGTGGTGGTGGTGGTGGTGGGTTTGAATTTGTGGTGCTGCTAAGTGGTGGTGGTGGTGGTGGTGGTACGGTGCTGGGTGGTTTCGCGGAGTTATGTGGTTGTGCTGGTAGGTGTTGGTGGTTTCGTGGTGCTGCCTGAGTGGTTGTGTTTGATTTGGTTTTTTTTTTTTTTTTTTTTTTTGTGGGGGAGTTGGATTAATACTAAACACATGCCCTTATTTTTCATTAATTACACTTAACAATCTTTTGCCTAGGAGTCCGCAATCATATTCTTTGTTGTGAGTAATTCGTAACGGAGGGAGTATTAGAAATGAACATCTATCATACAATCATAAAATAGCTAGACCATACCAAATAAAATGAACATTTCGTAAAAATATATGAGCACATTAAATAAATGATAATTTAGTATAAAAAAAACGTAAAAAAAATGAACACATCAAATAATATTATGAACATTTTAATATATTAAAATGAACATGATTTCATATATTCATATAGGTTCAAATTCATTGTATATAATTTTTAGAAAATAACACCACCAAAAAACACAAATTTTGATTATAACACCACAAAAACAAAAACTTTTATTATAACACCACAAAAATACTCACAAATTTGATTTCACCACCACTTAACGGATTTTTGGATGAAATCTGTTAGTGGGACCCACCACGTACACGTGTCAATAATCTATTGGTTTTTTTTTAAAAAAAAAAAAAAAAAAAAAAACTAAACCCTAGCCCAGCCTAACCACCACCACCGACGATCCTAACATCCACTGCCAGTGACCCCAATCCCCATCCCATCCCCACCAACGAAATCTCCAGCACCCGATCACGAGTCGTCCCTGAAACACACCAGCCCCAACCACCAACACAAAACTGGCGTTAAAACCCATCAAAGTCGAAAAGCAATGATTGAAAACCCCTAAAATCGACCATGGAAACCGACGAAGGGAACCCTTCACCCTCAAACGGTCGAGATCGACCATGGAAACCCCGAAAGGTCTATTTCCATGGCTGATTTGGACGTTTCAAGTGTGGAGGAAAGGGAGGTTTTCGCGGTGGTAGCGCTAGGTCGGCCTTTGCAGTGGTTTTGCAGTAGTTTGAAGGGCTTAGGGGGGTTTTCGGGGAGGGGGAAGAGGTAAGCGGTGGAGTAGGCGGTTATAGGGGTGGTAGTTTGGCTGGTTTGCCGGTTTTTGTAAGGGTAGGAGGTTCCGACAGCTGGGCAGGTGGTGCCGGTGGCGGGGCTGGCTGGGTTGCAGTTAGGGGTTAGTTTTTTTTTTTTTTTTTAATTTTTCCTTTTTTTTAATTAATTTAATCATTTAAACCAATAAACACTTGACACGTGTCTTCTAAAGGCCCCACTAACGGATTTCATCCAAAAATCCGTTAAGTGGTGGTGAAATCAAATTTGTGAGTTTTTTTGTGGTGTTATAATAAAAGTTTTTGTTTTTGTGGTGTTATAATCAAAATTTATGTTTTTTTGTGGTGTTATTTCTAAAAAAACCTATAATAAATTACGAAAAATAAAGCTAAAATAAATCGTTAAAATATGTTCATTTTTAGTCTACTAAATGTTCATTTTTATCTACTAAATGTTCATTTTGTACAAACTTGTTCAATTTTAAAGTACTTCGTGTTCATTTTTTTTACAGAAATTATACACAAGTTCAATTGTAATTATTTTAGCTCTAAAAATTTGAATATCCACTATAACTCTAATCTTGATTCATCATATAGACAATAATTATTGATCAATAACATGATAGATTTTTAATCACAATTGCAAAATTGATTGAAATCAACAATTTTGTAACATTCATATGCATATTCATAAACACAAAAAAAAATAATAAAAAAAGTTAAATCACCTCAAGATTCATAATCACGACGAAGATGATAACGATGGAGAATGCTTCAGTGGTGACGAATGGAGAATATCCAAAGTAGGACAAAGAAGTTTAAAGATTGAAGGAAAGTAATAAAGTAAACTTTTAAGAAAAGGGAAAAAAGAGGAGAGAGAAATTTTGAATTGAGAATAAACCAGAAGAGAGAGGAAATTAATAGAGCTAAGAAAGAAGAAGAGAGATAAAGTTAAATTATAAGGAAGAGAAAAAAAACGTATGTTTATTTTTTATATACTATATGTTCATATTTAAACCTGTTGCAGCTAGCTTAGCTACACTAGTGTGTAGCTAAGAATTTGCAAGGACCTCTCACCCGATCGGGCATCGTGTCGCCCGATCGGGCTTGCTTCCTTCACGCCAGCAGATTTCGGGCCATTTCCACTTGGGCCACTGTAATACCCCGTATTTTTAAGTCGTTTAATAATTATTAAATATGGATTTTTTGATATATTTTATCATACAAAATATTTATATGATAATTTTATATCTATATTTTATGATGATTTTAATTATACGAGCCAAGTCAAAATTTGTCGTACCCAAATCAATTTTCAACCGTTAAATTGTACCCGATTCAAACGACAAAGTACAAAATTCGCTATTTATATATGAGTTCAACTCATATGTATAGTACGTTAGTACTACACAAAAATATCTACTTCAATATATATATATATATATATATATATATATATATATATATATATATATATATATATATATATATATATATAAATGATGTTTGTTTTGATGTCAGTAAGGTGGGAGTTAATTACCCACTTGCCTTCTTCATTAATACTAAGGTTGAAGCATTCCCCCAATTTTCCTATAAATAGCCATGAATCCATCTCCTTCCAAACCGTCTCCTCCTTCTTTCCTCTTCATTTCTTTCTTTCATTATATCTTCTTTCATTCTAGCTTCCTTCTTTCATCAAGAGTTGGCCGAAATTCCACCATTACCGCCGCCTACCGTCGACGGCCACCGACCACCACAAGAGCAGCCCCCCCTCCTTCCTTGTATTGCACCGTAAGCCATATACTTCTTTCTCTAGTACTACTACTACTGCTTCTTCTTCTTCTTCTTCTTCTTCTTCTTCTTCTTCTTCTTATTACTGTTATTATTATTATTATTACTATTATTATTATTACTATTATTATTATCATTGTTGTTGTTGTTGTAAGTATTGTAGTTGTTGCTGTTGATATTTTTGCTACTACTACTACTACCTACGTACTACCTTATTATTATTATTATTATTATTATTAGCATGACTAGTACTCCTATTTTATACTACTACTACTACTCTTATTCCACGTACTACTATTACTACCTTTCCATTTATTATTATTATTATTATTATTATTATTATTATTATTATTATTATTATTATTATTATTATTATTGTTGTTGTTGTTGTTGTTAGTATTGTAGTGGTCCTGTTGAGTTGCTACTACTACAATTACTACTATCATACTACTACTTACCTACGTATCACTAATACCACTCTTATTATTATTAATAGTATAATTATTATTATTATTATTATTACGGATAGTTAAAGATTATTTCATAAATATAAGTGTTAATTTTATAAAAAGGTTATAATAATAAATTGTTCATGCACAACTAGTCAAAGTCGATAGTCTAAGTCCTTGTGTCTATGGGTTGAAAAGTATTTGATTAGGATTATTGGTTTGTTATAGGAGGAATTTCGGGTTCGAAATTAGGAGTTCTGTACTTGTGTGCAAGGATCAAGGTACGTACACGTGGCTAGATCTTTTAAAAAATGGCTTTTATATGCAACGTGTTTTACATGTTAAGTAATTTCGAACCATGTTTAAATAATTGTGAAATATATTTCGGTGAAGCATGTTTTAATCGTTTAATCTCAAATGTTAAAATATTTTATGGTTGATTATAAAGTTGTATTGATATTCAAGAATGAAATTTTATTGTTTTAATTTATCCCGAGTATGGGATATTGGAAAGTTTATTTATCAGGATTTATTCCTTGGATCTTTGGATTTTTAACTCCCACTACGCGGAGTAAGTTGAAGACTATGGACTTTGTATGACCTAGTCTTTCCCCTTGATAGCACTATGTAAAGGAGTTACTAGCTTGGGGGGTGTGCACACTTAGATGGGAAAATGATTTATGAAAATATGGACTGATCCATCCTATTCGGAATTATATTTGGAAAATTGGTTATTTCGGAAATTGGTTCTTCTGACAAGTTTTTATACATGAATTTCTATTCAGGAATGGTTTGGATAAATTATGATTTATTAAAGTTAAATCTCTTCGAAAGCATGTTTAATTAATTAAATTGATTTTACATGTCTAACATTGTATGTAATTAGCATTTTGGCTAATACGTATTTGTTTTGTTTTGGCTTGGCCCTACTTATCATTTTGATAAGTAGATAGGTGATGGCGATCGGACAACGTGAACTATATGCTGCATTGGGAATGATGGGCGGTGGTCACCTAGTTTAATTTAGTATACATAGTATTAGTGATGTAGCTATTTTGAAAGTGTATCAAACTGTTATTATTACTATTATTATTAATGAAAGTTAAGTACTATTTTTCGCTGCAAAACTCTGTTAAGCCTTACGTAATCACGTGGCGGTAATACTCCCATGTTACTCCCTAAAGTTGGATTATTATTGTAAATATTAGAGAGTAATTTGGGGGTGTTACAGCCACCTATGGTTTAACCTTTGTTGTCTTATGATTTGTGACCTCATCATTACTTGGTCCGTAGTAATAGCTTGTAAAACTTGGACTTCTTCACCAATTGAGCCCTTAATCACCAAACCAAATTCTTTTGACTAGATCTTAGGTTATAAAAATACAGTCATAAAATACGATCAAACTCCAATATCTTTGTAGTGGCTCAATAAGCTCGGGAATCATCATAATTCTACAAATTCCTACAAAATAATACCAACTTTACAAAAAACACTAGAAAACGTATATTAGTAATAAAAATAGCTCCGTAAAGCTCAAATAAGAACAAATATGACTGTGGGACGGGGAATAAAAATATATATATAATAGACTCATCAAACACGCACCAGCAAAACCCACCTGAAACGTCCCTGCAAAACCCATTTGAAACAACCTAGAAAACCACTCATTTTCTGGGTTTAAAAACCCTAAACAGGTTTTTTTTTCCGGGTTGTTTCAATTTAGGTGGATTTAAGGGTTTCGGGGGGAGGCGAAAAGGGGAGGGTGGTTGTTTCAGGGGGAGAGAGAAGGTCGGCGAACAGAGGAGGGGGTTGTTTTCGGTGAAAGGTGGTGGTATTGGAGGGCAGCTGTGTGGCAGTGTGCGGTGGTTCAGCGGCTGAGATCGGAGGTGGGCTCGCTAGCTTCGGGGGAATGTTTGGGCACCGGCAGCCGGGACGAGGAGGGGGAAGGGTGGCTGACGGGGAAGGGGGAACGGTGGCAGTGGCTGGTTAGTTTTTTTTTTTTTTTTTTTTAAAAAGTTTTTTTTAAAAAAATAAATTAAATTAGTAAATAATAACGGGTCCCACTAACGGAAAACTTAACGGAACATGGATAGAGGTACCAAAACCTATATTTTTTACATTTGATGGGTACCAAAATAAAAATAAAAATAAAAAAGCTTTAAAGAGATGCGAAAATTCAATTAGGATCATTTTCGAGGTACCAAAATTCAAAATTTCATTTATGAAACGGAGGTAGTATTTAAAACGGACAACATACGTGCCCGTTTATTTTTTTTTTTATTTTTTTTTTTGTAGCGAGTACTATCCTACCGGTACAAGTAATACTTTGGGCCTGTTCACTTTAGCTTAATTTCAGTTCAGCTCCAACCAGTTCAGTTCAGTTCAGTTCAGTTCAACTCAGCTCCTATCATTTCACTTCAGCTCCAACCAGTTCAGTTCAATTCATTTCAGCTCAGCTCCAGTCAGTTCAGTTCAGTTAGCTCCTAATTTCCTTATCTTAAAAAAAAAATCATTTCAGCTCTATTCAGTTCAGTTTAGTACAGTTCCAATCAGTTCAGTTCAGTTCAACTCAGTTCAGTAAATGTGAACAAGCCCTTTGTCTACGCAATTTACTTTTTTTTTTTTTTTTTTTTTTTTTTTTTTTTTTTTTGGAAATGGACACTAATTTTTCCCGTTTTAAATGTTGTTATTGTAACATTTATCAATATGCCCGTTACAAATAGTTCATTACAATTGAGCTTTTTTCCACTAGTTTTACTTAAGTAATTAAACAAAAAGAGATTAGAAAGTAGGAAAACTTGGAGGGTTGGAGCCGATTTGCCGAGGAGGTGGAAGACCTTTCGAGTCGAGACTAGAGAAGGAAGGTGAAGTAGTGGGCCTATTTTCTGGTTTGAAAACCTTATGAACGACGGAGTACAAGTAATTTCGACATTTTTAAAAGATAAGTAGAAAGACCTTGACCATACCTCAACTCTCACGGTTTTTCTGGTCCTATATTTGCGGGTCAAACACTTTGAGAGTAAGGGGGGAAAGGTAAGGAATCCTGACCCTTAAAGTGTCTTTATTGAAGATTGAACCCCCAACCTCAAGGGGAAAAGTACAATCCTTACCACTAAACCAAACTTAGCTTGATAAGTATTCGACAATATAGAAAAAACACATATCAATGTTTGTTAAAGATTGGGGAAAATAGTTCTCTGTATTTTTCCATTGTATTTTCCCATTCATAATATTCGGCCACATTACAAAGACAATATGAATATCTAACCCTAATATTCCTTATCATCTTAACTTCCTATAATATATCATATATATCTTTTCACAATAATATCTCATATGATATTATTATCATAATATCATATCACAATATACATTCCTATCTCAATACCCTCCCTCAAGTCGGACGTGTAGTTCTCGAACGTCTGACTTGGACAATAAAATAAAATCTGCATCATATCACCATCAAGCGGCAATATGTAATCATCAAACGATCCGGCGAAAATAACAAAAATAATCCCCTTGAACTTGATTAGCATGCCACGTTATTCCTCTTCATTAAAATCATCCATTTCTCCACGATATTAGAAAAATAAAAAATTAATGTGAACTCTCGCAATAATTCTCACAATGTCATAAACAAAAGTTGTGAACTCTCATGCACAAATCTCACACAAGTCAATTAACTCACGTTTTTTTTTTAAAAAAAAAAAATTAGTATTGTGAACTATCACAATAACTTTGTATTGGATGCAAGTAATAAATAATGCGTGCAATTGATCACTCCTTTTACACGAATTTTCGTGTTTAAGATATTTTCTCCCTTGATGAGAACGTCATTCTTTTCGAACTCATCAATCAATACAACGAGAGCGTCTTTCTTTTCGAACCCGTCATATTTTTCTCCTCCTCTCACACGAACTTTCGTGTTTTGCATCCTCTCCTAGATCTCCCTAGGCTCTGATACCATGTAAAGATTGGGGAAAATCGTTCTCTGTATTTTTCCCATTCATAATATTCGGTCACATTACAATATACATAAATAATATAAATATCTAATCCTAATATTCCTTATTATCATAACTTCCTACAATATATCATATATATCTTTTCACAATAATATCTCATATGATATTATTATCAATGTTACATGGTTGGCTAAAAGGTGGACCTCAAAACTCTTTAGGCCCTAAAAAATTGTAAGGAAAATTACTCCCTTAGCTAATTCCCTATGTTTTTTGTAAAAAATAAAATTTAAGTGTTCTATTTTAATCGGACACCAACAAACAATATATCAATTTATCACTTTGATTAAAACCATTTTTAATTAGCAATAAGTATACTTATAGAATTTGATATTTGGAAACTGCTCCCTTTATTCCTAAATAATTGACATGCTTTACCTTTTTTTTTTTCACTATTCACATGCTACTTTTTACCATCTTTTTTTTTTTAGTTTCTTAAAAAAAACAAAATTTATTATGAAATATATTCTTAAATAGGTACTTTTATACAGTTTCACAATACAATACAACCTTTTTATTACTTACTTTATTTAAGGTCGAATTAATACATTGACATGTAAGTCAAGTTTGATTGTTTCAATTATTTAAGGGAAATTATCAATGGTACACCCAAGGTTCAAACATTTATCAATGGTACACCTACTTAACTATTGATTATCAGCGGTACACCCAAGGTTTCACATACTAATCAACGATAATTACTCCGTTAAACAAACGTTAATCCTAGTTTCTTTTTGGCTTTTTTCGATTTTTTTTAACTTAAAAAACTCCTTCCTTTTTTTCCCTCTTTACTTTCCCTTTTTTATTTAGGGCATGTTCGGCAAAATGTAGCTGTAGCTGTGGAGGTAGCTGTGAGTTGTGAAAATAGTTGTTAGCTGTGAAAAAAGATAATTTAGGTATGATTGTTCGGTAAAGTAGTGGTTGACTAGCTGTTACATTTAAGAATCAATATTTTATTTTTAAAACTATACATTAAATTTTCAAAAGCTACTTTAAAAGCTACCTCTAACTTCAAAAGCTAATAATCCTAGCTTTTAATAAAAGCTACCTCCACCACTAAAAGCTACTTGAACCATTACTTTGCCAAACACTCACATTTTTTGTTGAGTAGTGGTTTGACTTGGTCAAACCACTAAAAGCTACCTAAAAGCTACTCAAAAGCTAGCGCCGAACACGCCCTTAAACTAACCCACCCACCAACTTTAAATTTGCTTTTTGGCAACGAAAGAAGTTGTTGCTAAATATATCTTTGGCAACAAGTTTGCATTTTTTGCAATGACTTCCACTTGTTATCCATGACGCCGTTACCAAAGGTATTTGCAACGACTTACTTTTGTTGCCAAAAATAAATTTTTCGCTACAATATTTCTATTGCTAAAATGTAGTTGTTGCCAAATTTCAATATTACCTGATATGTGATTAGAATTTTTTCGCAACAATAATAGTTGTTAAAAATATTTTTACTTTAACAACAACAAATTTTGTTGCTGAAACTTTTTTTGTTCTATACTGAGAAGTTTTCTGCAACAATAGTAGTTGTTGTTAAAAACATTTTTACTTTAGCAATAACAAATTTTGTTGCTGAAAAGAGAATTAAATTATCTTGTGATTCATAAATGTAAATTATACTCCATTTATATTCAAATTATACCATCTTATAACAATATAATTAGTTAGTAGCCCGGGCGTTGCTCGGGTTTACTACTTTTATAATTGTTCAACTGTTAATTTTTGAGAGCACCTAATAGTTTGTATGTAGTATGTATCTTCAATACTTTATTGTATAATATTATTTATTGTGCAAGATTAAAATATAATTGACAATTAGTTTAGATGGTTAAACAATAACCTTTCTTCTAAGAGGTCAAGTGTTCAAACCTTTTCATCCATATATTTTTTCAATATAATTGAGACAATATGGACTATTGTTGATTGTGTGGATGACGTGGCATATTGAGGTGCTGAGTGGATGATGTTGCATTATAAAAAGTTGAGTAAGCGACGTGGCAAAATGAGGGGGCCTACGTGGTGTATAAATGTTTTTAGGAACGTCTTATAATATATTAGTATAGATTAAGAAATAATGGATATATTTCCAACAATAGATGGCATTAGGAAGTGAAACTCATTCATAGATTATTAAAATTTACATGATACATTATTGTCCAATAAAAAATTTGCTAGAAGTTTATAGGTAATTTTGACAACACAAAAGAAAAATAAGAGATATACATTCATTTACTAGAAAAATTTACATTTTCTATCTTTAAAATGATCTCTTTGTGCCTCACTTCGTCATTCTTGATTTTCATTACGATCCTCGAATGCCCCCTATACCAACACATACAAAATAAAGGAGGGAAAGTAAAGAGGGAAAAAAAAGGAGGGGGTTTTTAAGTTAAAAAAAATCGAAAAAAGTCAAAAAAAAAACTAGAATTAACGTTTGTTTAACGGAGTAGTTACTGTAGATGAGTGTGTGAAACCTTGAGTGTACAGCTGATAATCAATGATTCAGTAGGTGTACTATTGATAAACGCTCAAACCTTGGGTGTACCATACCTTGGGTGTACCATTAATAATTTCTCATTATTTAAAGTAGAAGGGAATATATTATGAGACTATCAAAAGTGAATTAGATAAATACTGCAAAATGTCAAAATAAAATTAGAGAGATCAAAGTATCAACGGTGGATGATTATAAAGTCTGTAAAAGATTATCATGGTGGATCATTAAGGCACGTTTATGAAGATCACATTTGCAATGAACTATGGCAAAAGCTTTTAACTATTGAACAATTATTATTTTTATATAGTTATGGAAAACCTCTTATTTTATTTGACGTATAAATAAAGAAAAGAAAAAAAAAAACTCTTGGTTAAGAGTTTTAATGCGTATTTACTATTTAGTTGAAGGTAAAAACATTGGTAACTATGGAAGAGAATCCTTTGATCTATACACTTTTTGTTTAAAGTATTCTTCTCAAACATGAAATGCATTAACATGCTTATCTAAAAGTGTAAAACATGCTAGTACAACTTACCAAGACTTAAAAACAAAAAAAAACTTACCAAGACTTAGCATAGAGATTAGAGAGAAACTAAAAATATGATGTATCAAAGATGGGATAACAAAACGAAAAAAAAAAAAATGAAGAGAAGACAAAGCTGCCCAATAAGCAAAAATTGAACTGAAGTAATATTTTTTGTTATTTGTCTAGTTGAGAGATATGTACAATCACCTATCCGCAAAAAAAAAAAAAAAAAAAAAAAAAAAAAAAAAAAAAAAACTATCCAACCAAGAATCTGTGTTACATACTTATTCTGTAAAAAAAACACAATCCACCTTGTATTTCTAATCTTCCTTTCCAGCGTGTCTGTTCTCTGTTGTAGACAAGAAGGTGCATGAAACCGGATGATTTACGAAAATATGGTTATTTTAAAACTTATTTACACTTTTGCGTCGGAATGAAACTTAATTACGAAATTACTGTCTACGTAGGCTCGGATAAGTTTTTATTTTATTTTTTTATTTTTCAAAGTAAAACCGCTACCTCAAGTAGCGGTTTATGTACTAAAACCGCTACTTGAGGCAGCGGTTTTACCCTTCATAGATTGATTAAATGTCTCTTTACTTAGAGTAGTAATGACAAACCGCTACCTCAAGTAGCGGTTTTGGACTATAACCGCTACTTAAGGTAGCGGTTTGTCTCTAAAGAAAAAAATTACCCCAAATGTATCTCCAAGCCTACGTGGACTATATTTTCGTAAATAAGTTTCATTCCAATGCAAAACCGTAAATAAGTTTCTTAAAAGCTATATTTTTGTAAATCATCCCATGAAACCTGATTCATCTAGTTAAATTAATCCAGCATCTCAACCACTGGAGCATACTGCAAAAGTAAATTCAGATAAGTGAAGAGAACGAAAAATATACAATTTTATAGAACCGGATTATGCTATACAGGTCAGAAATCATACTGACCTCGTCATCATCTTCAAAATATAATCCGTCCACTGCACCTTTCCGCTGGAATTTCCAACCCAGTGTGTTCTCGAGCAATTCTCTTAGTTTTCTGGTCTATTGAGGTCATCCAGAGAAAAAGTAGAGGTTTTCATCAATTATATTGATCAGTGTAAATAAATAAACTGGATATGGGAACGGGGAAGCATGAACACAGCAGACCTCATTCTTAGGTTTCAAAATGCATAATGCATGAGTATATTTTTCAATTGTTCCACATACTAGACAACGTACGTCTATTAAGGAAATTTCATATTGTTAGAACATTATGTACATAATTCCAATAGTGCAACAGAACCATAACGTTCTCCAATCCAGTCCCCCTCGCCCAGTACCTCCCCTACTCACACCCACTAAACCACACACAGACCCAAGGCCTCGTATGTACTCTTTCACTTCCATAGTTCCATGCAGATATAATGAGGATGGATTACAAAAAAGAAGTAAATGAAAGACATAGTTATTCCATTATTTCCATTGTCACGTAAGAGCTAAAAAAGCATTGCAGAAACACTGTCAATATAGAACTCACCCATGTTAAAAGATCGCCATCAACAACTGAGGCCTCATCAACCAGCAAAAAAAATTCCTGCACATATCAGCATAGAAAAATGACTAGATTCAATACCAGATGACCAATTAAATTTCAGCTGAACTTTATTAATCTGTCACTAAGTATGATCCTATGAAGCAATTCTGCTTCACAATTCTATTTCTTCAGGGTAAGGGTTTGAGGAGGTTAGAAATACTTTATATTGAACGAATGAATTATTTCCTAATTGCTGCAATCTACTTTCACAACCAAAGGGCAAGGTCAACAGAGAGACAGGACAGATTGTAGGCTACTAGATAAACTATGACATACTAAGAGCCCTCAGCTTTTCAAACAAAAAAAAAAAAAAAAAAAATATTATGGAGATGCACTGTAAGGCTTGCAAGGGACATTCATTTGGTGCAGGAATATAAATAAAACAAATATTGCTGGAGGAAAAAATATTTCATCTCAATAACTCCAGGACACAACCCTCATAAGCAAGAAGTCAGTGTTCTTCAGCAGAGTCAATCTCTATAATCTATCTAAATACATGAATATATATTTGATGAAATAATTACCTTGGAAAGGTGATGCAGAAAACTATCAGAAGTAAACCATGAATCGTCAAGCAATAATGACGATTCCTTCTCTATTGTGCTATTATTTGCATGACCCCTTTGAAATCCATATTTTAGTTGATAATATACACACTTGATGAACTGCAAGAAGTGTCCTGAACATTAGGAAGGAAAGAAACAGAGAAAAGTAGTGCACCATGTCCTGTCATCCTCTAAGTAGCAGTCTACCAAAAGCACATCAATCCAACTAGCCATTTATCTCCAAAAGGACAATGGCTATTGAAAAATTTAAGTGATATATGGGTAGTTTTATAAACAATTAGGTAGTAGATTTTACCTTTATGAAAAGCTGGCTCCTGGTATGAAATGGCTGCAAGAAGAAAAAACAAAATTGATAAATTTCGCTTTCAAGAACAGAACTTCATTACAAGCACACTTCGTATGCTCCAGAATGAAACTATGGAAATTCACATGACCCACACCCACCAGACGTTGTGCTTAGGGGGGTTGGAGCTTATTAGAAATGAGACCTAACCTCACATTTGTCAGAAATCTCATATTGACAACTAAAGTTCCAGCCTTTAAATGACATTATTATAAATCTTACAATATCAAAATACTAGGCTCTTGAAGAGCATCCATGATTTAGTTTGGAGGTATTCAAATATATCAAGGTAAGATGAAAATACTTTACTTGACCCTTGACCCTGCCAATTAAAAGATGAGCCCAGCTACTCTTAAAGGGCCCTATAGTTCTGCTTCCAACTTCCAAGTATGATGAATTGGATCTTCTTTTGTCCACCGCCCTTTCTTCAGTACCTAACTTCGTTTATTGATTTTTGGCATTTTTCAATCCAAATTCAAGACCTCTAGTAACATACAGCAACCAACCATCGACTCTTGCTTAACATCTCAGTCTTATGATGAGGGTAATTTTCCAGCTCAAATACTAGAGTGAATCAAATGACTAAGATTTTCCTCTCCTTGTACTATGAAACAGCAAGCAACCAACATATTCCCCATCAATGGTTAAACAAGGACAAGAGCACTTATATATGAACCTTGTGAAATCATCGAGGTAATGCTATGAGGAATGATTGTTAAAAAGCTTCCCAAATCCAAAAAATACTCACAGGTAATGCACAAGGTACAAGTGTACAACAGTTTAAAACCCACAACTAACGTGAGGACCCAAAAACTGAAGGAGAGTATTTGCAAACTGCAATATGATTTAGATACTTATGGACGTCAGATAAGGAAATCCTAAAATGTAAAGCAGTGAGAATTGTGAATGAGAACACTTACAGCTTGGGTACATCCAAACAGAAGACTGACCAAAGATTTCCACTGTAAAAATCCATCGAGTGATTGCCCCATCTGTGGAAGATCCAATTGTCATTAAGGCACTAGACAGAAAGACATTAAAAGCAACTTGACATGTTCATTTGATGAACTGTAATAGTTTATGTCATACCAGAAACGCAATTAATGCAAATTGCAGCTCACCAAGAAGTCTGTCTTCATCACCCTCAAACTCTTTCATAAGAATGCTTTCCAGAATATAAGTCTGAAAATCACAGACAGAAGTGTTAAAAAATGGGATCCAAAATTTATGGCAAAAGTATAAGCATCTCTCTAAAAACTACCTTGTCTAGATTCACAGAGGTAAGTTCTGCTACAGAAATTCCTTTCTGCTTGATTACGCGAGGAACAGGTGTATAGTAGCATCCTTTCTTATCTGAAGTTTCAGCTTCTCTATTGAATTTACTATTCTTTAATTGTTCAGCTAAAGCTATCTCCATGGTAGTTTTGGGAATGTTGCCAACTAGGCTTGATTCACATGCCACTGTGATTTCCCCTCCTATTGGTTCTGTGATACAGGACAAGAATGAAATCATAGGCAGTCAAAGATTAAAATAATTCTCAGAAAAGCTTCATAAAAATAGGATGGTTCTCACCAATACGCTCTATGACATCCTTAGTGATGTAATTTGACAAACGTTTCCAATCTCCATAATCACTCAGTGAGTAAGGGCCAAGATGCCTATCGAATTCAAACTGTTTCACAGCCTGAGCATATCTCTCTTCCTATATTGAAGCAGAGAAAGGATGTTAGACTATTATAGTTGGAAGCTTTAACACACAACACTACAAGAGTATTAACTAATCAATTCTCACACAAGTCCAAGCAAATTGAGCTGTCGCATCAAGAACTTTTCAGATATAAAGCAACAACCGACATGTATTTGCTGTCCTTGCCAAAATGAGTGTTATGAACTTGATTATTACACTAACATGAATAAAAAAAAATTACTTTTAATATGAGTGCGGAACTAAGCATAACTATTTCTAGGTACAAGTTCATTCACTCAAATGATAACATCAAAGATGTTCAAGGAATGACAGGAAGCCATCTAGGTTACAGGAATCAAGTTCCTCAACCGGAAGCTAGCATTGTAGCTACGAAATTCTTCGATGCAATGTAAGAGTGACCTTAAGTCCTTAAGGTACCCCCATTAGCAAACCAATGTTACAACTAACAAGTACTAACCTCTTCATCTGGAACTTTCACCAGTCTTTCTTCTTCCAGGTTCCATTTACGAACAACAACCTGTTGGAACCAAAGAAAATGAAATGGAAGAAACAACTGGAATCCAATGGATTAGCTGCTCATAGTATTTAGTAAGCAATCAAACCTCAGATGTGGATGTCTCAATAAAAAAGCCAACGATGGATGAAAACTCCTTTCCATCTCTGCACAGAAAATTGAAAACTCCATACCATCAAATCACATAGCTGGTAGACAAAATGTCAGACACAGAACAAGGTAAAGCTAAAGGGTACAAAGTACCACTAAATAGAAGATTAATTCAGCGAATACAAGCAGACGAATAAACTCTCAAAAGCTCTGAAAAGAACAAATGAAATAAGCAGGGAAACATACTTGGTAGATGAACTGAAAAATACAAAATGAACTCCAGGAGGAATCATCTTAATACCCTTGAATTCAGGGCCAGCGGAGAAAACCTGAAGGGAATAAAACCCATATTTTTAGCAAGTTGCATATCTACAATCATTTAAATCTTGTCATCAATGTCCAATGTAAACCTACTAGGAAGAAGTGCAAGCTTTCAAACTCATGACAAAAAGATTATAAGTTATAACCCCATCTTGTTAGATAAATTGTACAATGACATGCTAAGCAATTTTTTGAGCAAAGGTACGGGGCCAAGAAGCTGAGAGCGAATACAATTTCAATAAGATATCTAGATTATCATTAATCTGATGGAGAGAATTAAACATATAATGCGCTACACAAGATTTATGAAGCGAAATTCACTTGGAAAATACACATTCAGTCCTCACAACGATCAACTTCCAAAATCATCCTCTCAACAACCTCTCTCTCTCTCTCTCTCTCTCTTTTTTTTTTTTTTTTTTTTTTTTTTATTGAAAATATACTCTCAAGTCTCAACAACCTAAACCTAATTAAGCTGGCTATTAAGTATTAATCCAATAGAAACTAACAATTATATAATGAAATTCCGACTTTCCTTGCAATTTTCCAAACCTCCTGCTCAAATTCTAGGTCACTAGCTCAGGTACAAGCCAAGTATCAAAAATTTTATGATATTTCCTAAGATTGTCACTCAGAAATTAAGGTTCCATGTTGCCATAACTATCAATACTTGAACAAAAAAAAAAACTAATAATTCGAATTCAGCTGAAAAACAAGACAACCCCATCACTATAATCATTAACATTAAAGCATATATTGCTCAAATGAGATATAATTAAACAAAAGCATTGCTTTTTTCTGGAAAACCACATTAACAACCTTCCAGAAATTTAAACCCCAAAACTTATAATCAAATTATAAATAACAAATTATGCCAACACATGTAAATATAACAAAAATCTTAAATTTCTAAAACAAACCAAGAAAATAGAAGAGAAAAAGAAAGAAATGAAGAAAATGACCTGGGTATCAATGCCAATGAGAGTGTACTGAGGAACATCGAGAAAGAGAAGAGTTGAGCCTTGCTTTACCAGTTCTAATGCTTTTTCTTGCTCCATTTTCTTTTATTTCCCAATTTAATTTCTTTGTAGTTATGAAATTGGAAGCTTGGAGCTTTAATAAGTTCTAAGTTCTTCGGAGTTTTCGGCTTTACGAGTCCGGAAGTCTCTTTGATTTTCCTGTGACTGTAGATTGTAGAGGAAGAATGAAAAAGCCAAGAACACCCGTCTTTTTAATCGACCAGTGTTATTAATGGTATTGTTTATTTATTTATTTTACGTTTTTCTTGTATTAGATATTTATTTATATGGGGCCTTATATAAAAGTAAAAGACGAGCGCGCTCCTTCTCCCTTTCCGGATCCCGGGGGCGCTACTACTACTTTTTTTTTTTGAGAGAATGGTATTGTTTATTTAGGGGGCGTTTGGTTCGCAGAGTGGTATAGGTTTGGAATCAGGAATAGGGTTAAGGTGGTATCGGGTTAGAACTTGATACTTAATAATATGTGTTTGGTTCAGTTCTGGAATGAAATATCATCCCCTTAATTTCATATATTTGATACCTAAGGGAATGGATTAAGTCAAACCCACCTTCCCCCAAGGTTTCTAAACCCCATACCTCATGGGTTTGAGGTACGGGTTTAAAAATCATATTTTTGACGAGCAAACATATGGTATGGGTTTTGGTCATTCTAAACTCATACCTAATACCTATAATTTGCGAACCAAACGCCCCCTTAAAAAAAAAAGAAGGTTTTTCTAAGCTATGCCTCCCAAGTTATTTGGTTTTTAAGCTTTACTCATGTTTTTTCAAAGTTATAAGTTGTGTCCTCCACCTCACGATATTTTATCAACAATACCCTTTGACAGTCATATCCGTGAACGAAAGTTAAACTATTTCATTAACAATGGTGTCGTGGCGTTATTAACTTGACAAGTGTCCAGTTCTAATTGGTTTAACACTTTAAAAAATCAAAAAATAAAATAATAAAAAAAAAATTATTGTTAATGTCAAAGGTTATTGTTAATAAAAATTAGACCCTATTCTTTTAACCTTCTGGGCAGAGCAGATCAAATTTCATTATTATTATTATTATTATTATTATTATTACTACTACTACTACTTCTAATACTACTACCCAAAGGAGTTGGTGGCAACAATGAAGATTCCCATGAATTTAAGAGTTTGCTTAGATTCATTATACAAGCTTATATGACCTCTTTACCCTCTATCCCAGTTTCTATGGAAGATACAATCCCAAATTTAGCACCGGACTCACTACCGATTACTTGCATGATCTGGAATGTGCAAGGCGCGGGTAGTAGAAATTTTGTGACTAATTTGAAAGATTTGGTCAAGGTGAACAAACCGAATGTTCTTGCTTTGGTAGAAACTCACATGGAAGGGGAGCAAGCTGTGAAAATTGCTTCTATTCTTGGCTATGATGGGCATACTAGAACTGATGCAGTTGGTTTTAGTGGGGGGATTTGGATATATTGGAGAAAGGATGTGGTTACTGTAAGTCCTATTTTCCAACATAACCAACATATCACTATGGAAATTTCTCGAGTAGGGGCTATACCTTGGTACTTTACAGCAGTGTATGCAAGTCCGGATCCTCAAAAAAGAAAGGAATTATGGGATGAGTGAGAGAATTTTGCTAAAACTCATGACAAACCGTGGCTTGTGGCAGGAGATTTCAATGACACTCGCTTTCCATCGGAAAGAAACAAATCTTGTAGTGAAACAAATAGAAGATCAACTTTATTCAATGCTTGGGTTGAAAATATGGACTTGCTTGAAGTGGAATTCTCGGGGGCTGCTCATACGTGGGCTAGAGGCAAGACCCCTGAAACTAGACAAAGTGGTAGATTAGACAGAGCCTTATGCAATGATCAATGGGCTATGAGGTTTGAGAATGCTTCGATGAGACACCTAACTGCTGCTACATCGGATCACTGCCCCCTTATTTATTTCCCCGAATGGCTTTGTTCCTATGGAGTCCCTTCACAGGCCCTTTCGCTTTCAGGCTGCGTGGTTACAACATGAGAATTTTAGTGAATTTGTTGCGTAGCACTGGTGTAAAGAGAGACCCTTAGTCCCGGCTCTTGCTAAACTCTCTTCTGATTTGCAACTTTGGAATAGGGATACCTTTGGGAATATTTTCAAGCAAAAACAAATACTTCTTGCTCGAATTGGTGGGATTCAAAAGAAACTAGCAACTTGGGTTGACAGAGGATTATTAAAGCTGGAAGCTAGACTCCGTAAAGAATTGGATGAAATTTTAGATAGAGAAGAAATGCTATGGTACCAAAAATCACGAATTACATGGCTTCAAGAAGGGGATAAAAATACAACGTTTTTTCACCTTAGTACAATTGTGAGGAGATGGAAAAATAAAGTGTCAGCATTGAAGAACAAAGATGGTCTTTGGGTGCAGGACAAATGTGAAATCCAAAATATCATAGTTGAATTCTTCTCTAATTTATTTACTGAAGACGGAGAACAGAACTTGTTGGACATCCCGCAAGACATATTCCCTGAGTTATCTGATTCTGACTAGAGGTTACTCACCAAATATTACTCGAGGCATGAAATTGATGAGGTGATAAAGGACATGGGTGCTCTAAAAGCAACAGGGCCTGACGGATTTCAAGTTTTATTCTATCTAAAAAACTGGGAATTGGTGTCTCATAATGTGTATGAGGCTGTCCTTCCGATCCTAGAGGGAAAGAAATCAGCAGAAGACCTTAACCATACTTTCATTGCTCTAGTCCCAAAGGTTGAACAACCTGAGATGGCTTCTCAATTTCGTCCAATTGGACTTTGTAACGTGGCATACAAAATAATCACCAAGGTTATTGTCAACCGTATCAAGCCGGTCTTACCTCACCTTATTTCGAATACTCAATCAAGTTTCGTTCCGGGAAGGCAAATAACTGACAACATAGTGATAATGCAAGAGGTTCTACATACCATGAGAAAGAAACAAGGGACAACAGGATACATGGCCATTAAAATTGACTTTGAAAAAGCCTACGATAGGCTTAGATGGGAATTTATCCGAGATACCCTTGTTCAAATGAATATCCCTATCACTATGATTGAAGTAATTATGGACTGTGTCACAACAGTCTCTTTGCAAGTTCTATGGAATGGAGAGCCCTCCAAAACCTTCAAGCCTACTAGGGGAATTCGTCAAGGTGACCCATTGTCGCCTTATTTATTTGTGATGTGCATGGAACGATTCTATCAAGTAATTGAGGAAGCAATAATTTGTGGCAAATGGAAGACTACTCGTGCAAGTAGAGATGGGCCAGAACTTTCAAACCTATTTTTTGCTGATGACATAGTCCTTTTTGCCGAAGCAAGTGTTGAACAAGCTGGTCTTATTCGTGAGTGCCTAAGCAGATTTTGCAACGCATCGGGGCAGAAAGTCAGTTTGCCAAAGTCCAGAGTTTACTTCTCAAATAATGTGGATATGGGAAAGCAACTTGAGGTCTGTGCTAAATTAGGAATGAAGGTGACTAATGACTTGGGTATGTATTTGGGAATGCCTACATTAACTAGTAGGGTGACCAAAGCAACTTTTAGTCACCTGTGTGAGAAAATCGATAGACGCCTTGCGGGTTGGAAAGCTAAATATTTGTCGTTGGAAGGACGAATAACTTTGGCTAAATCATCGCTGTCAACTTTAGCCTATTATTCAATGCAAACGGCAAAAATCCCAAAAATGATTTGTGAAGAAATTGATAAAAAATCTAGGCGCTTCATCTGGGGTGGTAATGAGGACAAGAGAAAGGTTCATTTGCTATCATGGGAATGCTTACAGAGACCAAGGGAGCTAGGAGGAATTGGGATTTATTCTGCTAAACAGGCCAATTCGGCATTTCTTGCAAAGCTGGGCTGGAGGATGCTTAGTGAGCCACATTCATTATGGGCTCGAGTTTTGCGCTCTAAATATTGTAAGGGAAGATGTGACCTGGACATGTTCACTCCTAAACATGGATGCTCGAATGTGTGGAGTGGAATTACAGAAAATGCTAAAGTTCTTGGTGAGGGTGTGCGTGTTGCAGTTGGTAATGGCAAGGACACACGTTTCTGGGATCATAAATGGGCTACTGAAAAGCCTCTGAAGGAGCTTGTTTCTGAACCAATACCAATGGAGCTTACTGAAGCTACTGTTGAGGATATGTGGGAGGAGGGAATTGGCTGGAGGTGGAATGTATTTGCGCAATTTCTTCCACGAGATGCTCTTAAACACATTCAAAACCATGAAATTCGTGCTGACAATTCAATTGGTGACTTAGTCTATTGGAAAGGGAACTCTCAAGACAAATTTACTATAAAATCCGTGGTGAGTATTATGAGACATGAAACAGATGTCTTGGATGAGAAATGTTGGGATATGATCTGGAAATCCCCTGTGCAACAAAGGGTCAGAGCCTTCCTTTGGCTGGCTTGCCACGACAGAATTCTTGGTAACCTGAACTTGTACAAGAGAACACTAACTGTTGATCCTAAATGCCCAATCTGTGGTAATGGTGATGAGAGTACATTACACATTCTTAGAGATTGCACAAATGCAAGGCTGGCTTGGAATAAAATTCTGCACCCAAGGTTCCATGATCAGTTTTTTCGATTTAATTTGAAAGATTGGCTGAGTTATAATCTGGAAAATTCGAGCAATATTAATGTTGAGGGATGGGATACCATGTTCTGTACTGCAGCTTGGTGGATTTGGCGCTGGAGAAATTTCCGTGTGTTCAACAGAAGAGATGAAGTACCAATTGACACAGGAGCTTTCTTAAGAGTAAGGTTCAGAGAAGTTCGAAAAAGTTTAGCGAAGAATGCTGCTAAATCTGCAAGCAGCAGCAATCAGAAAACTGAGGTGAATGTCTCTTGGCACTCCCCTACTCCTGGTTGGTTTGTGTTGAATTGTGATGGCGCGGCGAAGGGTTGTCCTGGACCTGCTGGAGGAGGAGCCATTATTCGTGATCATGAGGGACAATTTATTTCAGGATTGTCTGCAAGTTTTGGCTACTGCACGGCCTTTAAAGCAGAGGTAATGGCTCTAGTGAGAGGTCTTGAGCTAGCACATAATCTGGAAATTAAGAAGCTACAAGTTCATTTGGATAATCAATCTGTGCAAGAATGCTCCAAAATGGAACTAATGGCAGGGGTGAATGTGTTCACGACATACAACACTGCCTAAATCTATTGAAAGATGATAGATGGGAAGTTCATGTAGTGCATATATATAGAGAAGGAAACTGAGCGGCGGATTGGTTGGCCAACCGCGGCGTCTTTCAAGACTCACAACTTATTATCATGAACATGGTCCCGGATGAGCTTGGAAGGATACTGCAAGAGGATGCTAGAGGAGTGTCTCTCCCTAGATTAGTTCCTGCTTAGTTAGCTATAGTTTTTGTTTATTTTTTTTCTTTCTGTTTTGTTCTTTCTTTTGCTGCGCTTTTCTTTTGCTTTTGGAATTTTTCCTCATTTGGATAAAAAAACTACTATTATTATTACTATTATTAATATTATCGCATTAATTATAATCATTAATTATTATTATTAAATATTAATTATTATTATTATTAAATATTATTTAATAATTATTTTTATTATTAAATATTATTTAATTATTATTTTTATTATAATTATTATTAAAAATTTAAAATTAGTATTATATTTAGATATTAGTTATTATCTTTAAATATTAATTTTTGTTATAAAAAATCAATTATTATTATTAATAATAATAAGTATTATTATTACTATTATTATCCTTATTTTTTTTGAGAAAATATTATTATTATTATTATTATTAAATATTAATTATTATTATTAATATTATAATTATTAAATATTAATTATTTATTATTATTATCATTAAATATTAAATTTTAATAATAAAGTTATTATTAAATATTAATTATTAATTATTGTTATTATTAAATAGTAATTTTTCATATTATTATTATTATTAAATATTATTATTATTATTATTATTATTATAATTCAATAATAATTATTATTATTAAATATTAATTATTTATTATTATTATTTACTATTAATTATTATTATAATAATTCAATATTAAGCATTATTTTTAAGCAGAGCAGCTCTAAAGAACGGGGCCTTAATGAGTTTAAGGGAACAACTTAGACGTTTGAAAAAGCATGAGCACAACTTAGAAACCGAAGAAGTTTGGGGGCATAACTTGAAAAACCCCCCAAAAAAATTACTCGTACTTTACTCCGTGGAAAATTAAAAGTTTGACATTTTATTACAGAGTAACAAATTAAGTTAGAACTTGTTCAATGCACGGTTTACATAAAACCTATTTTAAATTTGTACATTTTAAAAACAAATCGCTACTCCGTATTATACATTAATATAAATAAAAATTACGTACATTTTGTAATTTAAAATCTTTTATTTTCATCAAAATTATGATATAGTATCTATTTAACGTCGTCTAATTCATAGTTCAATGTAGGAGATCATTTATTAGTGTGCTATTTAAAATAATTTCAATTTCCTATGATAAATTGATAGGTTTTAGTTGTAAGGTAGAAGCATCTAATATTTAAATTTCAAAAATGTTAAATATGATAGCTCTACAAAAAAAAAAAAAAAAAAATGACATCATCATTGCATTTAGGTGGGAAAATTTATATTATGAGAGCGACAAGTGAGCAGTGGTGACGTCATCATCTTCTATTTTAGTAATATTTAATAGACTAGTTTTTAGCCCAGCTGATACCCCAATTTATTGCTATAATAATAAAAAATATATCAATTGTTTCAAATATATATATATAGCAATTGTTTATTTTTGTAAATATTACGAAGTATTGAACATCAAAATACAATATTTAATTGTAGGGCTGAGAAAAACTACCCGAAAAATTGATCTGTAACCGTTCCGAAAATTAGGATACTCGATCTGATAATCATACTGGTTCAAGTACCCGTTTCGATAATTTGTTATCGAGTATGGTTATTGGGTATCATTTTAAAATTAACGGTTATCCGATCCGTTCCAATAAGCATTTTTTTGCTTTTTCCCCTACTTAAATCAATTTTTTTATAATCTAAACTCTTACTTTACTTCATAATTACTTTATAATATCAATTTATTAGTAATATTATCAATAATTTGGTCAAAACCATATGATATTGTTGTTAATTAGTGGTAAATTATATCATAATAACTACATAATTAAGTTTAATTATCATTATTGGATATCTTATTGGGTACCCGATAACCGATCCGAAAATCCGGGTACCCGAACTTATCGGTTCGGGTTATGGATATCACTTTTAGAGATTTTGGTTATCGGGTACCCGAATCGTTAGTACTAACGGTATGGGTACCCGTCCCATGTTCACCCCTATTTAATTGGACAAGTCTTGTATGTGGCTAGCCACACGGTTTGGCCACATTGATTTATAAGATTAATCTTCATTTATATGTATGAGTAACCTCATTTTTTTCATAAGAGTAAGGGCCTGTTCCGATTGACTGAACTCGATCAACTGAACTGAACTGA